AGATAAACTATGGATTAGATGGATCCATACATACTATATTAAATCTCATACGGTGGTATTAACATCTATACCTTCTCAGGCATCATGAATGATAAGGAAGATCCTGGCAACAAGAACTTTGGAACAGATTCAGGCACTACAATTAAGTTCTGTAAGCATAAAAATATATTTATCAGAAGCTACTAGGAGACAATCCAAAAATTGCTTGGAAGTTCCTACTATTTGGCAACAATGCAAGACCAAAGGCTAAATTTACACTGTGGCTGCAACTACAGGATAGACTACACAAAACTGATAGGCTTCAGGCATGGGGTTAGATATTGATCAACAATGCTTCAACAACAGGAGGAAACAAGAGATCACTTATTTGTTCGATGTGAATTTACCCAAGGGGTGTGGAGAAGAGTTATGACTTGGCTGCAATGGCAATGGAATCCTGCAACAATTTGGAACACTCACCTAGCATGGACCATATTGTGCGTGAATGGGAGATCACTGAATGCTCAGATTTTCAAAATGATATATGATGAGATTACATATGTAGTATGGATGGGAAAAAATAGGAAGATCTTTGAATATACAAGGCGTCAATGTGAGGAACTTGCAAAGGAGATGGTCTACATTCGTAATGTCCGAGCTAGCCCTCAAGTCAAGACAAACATCCATCAGCTTAAATTTTAGATAATTCTGTAGACTTGCCAATTTATATATGAGTTTATTTACACTTTGAGATAACAATCTATGTTAGTATTGCTATGGATTTGTAAACAACAACTTTGGTGATTACTAGAAATGTCAGTTACCAAAAAAAAAGTTGAAGCAACAATACTCAGATATTATTGATCCAGTCATTTGTTGAATTGTATTATTGTTCTTTATAAGCTTATGAGAAAATATATTTTAAAAAATTCTAAACTTGACAGCACAATTTACTTTTGCACTTAAACTACACATGCGTTTAAATACCCTTTATCATCTTTGAACTGATTTTTTTTCAACCCTAACACTACAATATCAATCTCAAAATGACAAGTGAATTCCACACACGCCACGTCATCGACATGTCAGTGCCACATTGAAAATTATTAAGTGTCAAAAACACACTTAAACTATCCCTTTTCTTTGAGTTTCATATCTAAACTATTGAAGGTGTGAGTTTTATACCTAAACTATCACTTATTAGTTTGAAAAACAATTTTTCTCTTTTATAATACGCTCATCTTGGTGTGTGTAATACACTCTCTCTTTTATTTAAAAAAATCGTCACATCACACTCCACATGGATAAAACATTTCACCTTGACAAAAAATAAATAAATTATAAGTATTAGTTGTACTTAAAGATTAAAAAATTATTATCCCAAAAAATATATTTCTTTTTATAAAATAAAATGTAAAATATTTTTCTTACCCACTCCATCACTTCCTCTCACCGTACCCTCCCCCCTCCCCCCCTCCCCCCCTCAAATACTAATTTAGATATTATCTTATTTTTTTTTAAAAATAATAATTCTACCTACTCCACCTAACCCTCTGCTTCCAAATTTTTTCTCGTTTTGGGTTAGATATAAACATATCAAAAATATTTTTCACTTGCCGTTGCAAGACTTTTTAAAAATTTATATCTATGTTATATTTGGTACATAAGTAGAAAAAAATTCTTGAAAATATATGTACATACTAACACAAAACGAGAAAAATATTAAAAAAAAATTAAATAAATAAATTAAAAGTTGGGGGTTAAATAAGATGGGGTAGAATTTTTATTTTTGTAAAATAAAATAATAACAATTTTTTTGGTTAATGAGTGAGTGGTTTGGACGGAGGGGGGGGGGGGGTTACGGGTAGGAGGTGGTGGAGTGGGGTAAGAATATTTAAATTTTATTTTTTTTATGAAATATTTTTTTGGGATAGAATACTTTAATTTTTAATTAATTATTTTCTAATTTTTGTCAAAGTGAAATATTTTATCTATGTGAAATGTCATGTGTCAATGTTTTTTAAATAAAAGAGAGAATGCATTACACACACCACTGATGTGTGTTTCTCAAACTGAGAAGTGATAATTTATGTATGAAACTCACACTTTCCATAGTTTAGGTATGAAATTAAAAAAATAGGATAATTTAGGTGTGTTTTTGACATTTATTTGAGTTTTTTTTTTAAAAAATGTTTCTTTTTATTTATACAATTTTAGAAAGGTAAAAAAAAATAAAAAATTAAAGAGGATTAATCCAAGATTATAAAAATAAATAAAAAATCTCAAAATAATATAATCAAACTCTACATATCAAAGGTTAGAAAACATTCAATTTTTAAGTCACATTATCAATATAAGTGAATAATAACAATTGAAAAACTAATTTGAGATGAAGAAATTATAATTTTTTTAATAAAAAAAGCTTCAAGTTCATCACAATCAACAAACGCTTTCATAAATAGGATCTTGAAGCAACAATAAGCTGTTGACTTTTTCATTTTTCCTTGTTCATTACTTCTATAAGAATAAGTTGAAATGAAGGAATGCGTGTGGGAGTGTTTCAAAGAAGACAAAAGAAGAGGAGGGGAGGGGAGGGGAGGGGGGGGGGGGGGAAACGGGGGGCCAAATACGAAGAAGAAAGGGGTAAGGAAGGTGTTGGTGGGCGGCGGGATTCGAAAAGGAGAAAGAGGGGGTGCAGGTGGGGGGTTCGAAGAATGAGAAATATAGTGGGCGTGGAGGATTTCGAAGAAGGAGAAGAAGGTAGAGGATTTCGAAGAAGGAGAAGAAGGTGGAGAATTCGTCGAAGAAGGGAGTGGTGCAGGTGGTGACTGAGAGCGGCGACGAGGGTGATGGGGTGTGAGGAAAAAGAAAGGGTGGGCCTGTTGGTAAAGGTGGTGAGGTGGGTCGTGAAGAACAAACCTTATTGGATGAAAAGAAAAAAAGGGCTCAATTGTTTTTTTCTCTTTAATTTTTTACTTTTTACTCGTTTTTCTTAGGGAAAATCACACAGATAAGCAAACATATACTAGTTAATTAGCTAACATAGCTATAGTTTGAATTAATTACGGCTCACAACTTACTTTTAACTGTAATTACGTCGCTTATACATATACAAATACAAATTATACATATGTATATATATACAATTATATGACATATATACAAATACAAGTAGCCTCTCTCCTCCCTTTCTCAATCTCGCTCTCCTCTCTCCTCCCTCTCCCAATCTCGCTCTCTAGATATACAAATACTTATGTATACCAGTTACATATATATAATTATCTGACAGATATACATATACAGTTCGCCTCTCTCGCTCGCCAAATATACAAATACATATGTATACCAGTTACATACACACACACACATATATATACACAATTAACACAATTATTTGACAGGTATACATATACAATTTGCCTCTCTCCACTCTCTGTCCTCTCTCGCTCACCTCTCTCCTCCCTCTCCTAATATCGCTCGCCTCTCTCCCCCATCTAACATGTAGTTACGAATCGTAATTAACAAACTATTGCTATGAAGTATAATTAAGTTATTTTGGGTGGCTATACGTGAAAAATCTCCATGTATAAATACATATTTTGTATATACTTTATATTGTTTGTATATTCAAAAGCGTAATATACAAACCACAACCTCCATTTGTATATACTTATCATTTTCAATTTACAAGTGAAATATATACAAACGGACAAACGAAATATACAAACCACAACCTCATATCAAATGGAACTATAACTTTGAAGCGCAATTATCAAAACTATACCTATAGGACTCGAACCTGTATAATAATACACCTACCGAGATGAAAGTCAAAGGTGAGTCTCGTAGGTGGACGTATCAAACCAAAATAGTGCAACATGGAAAATTTCATTAAGAGAAATTAACAAGACCTCTGATTGAGAATGAAAAAATACTGACCACTTAATTATACTAATTATAGTTAATGAGCATATTAAGGGATCATCTCCCAATGCTAGATCAACCAATAGAGATCACCATGTGATATGACTGTCAGCCAACTACACTTGTTTGTGTAAATGCCAAGAAATAGTTACTCTTAAATCTTTTGTTTTACTCATTGCATTCCCATTTGCTAATAATGCCGGCGCCTGTCCTTTTGTCTCCCATACCCCACCCCCACGCACGTTATCCCAAAATTGTAGCATATCCACTTATTTCCATTTTTGGTATCCCCATATCTTATTTTAATCTCAATTATTCATCCCCATAAGATAAGAAAATGTGTCCACTTGACTACAAGACATTTTCAGATTTATTCAACTTTGGGGTTTGAGCTATAACCACCCTTCCATTTTTAGTATTTTTATTATTATTTCTACTACTTCCTCACTTCCATTTATGTGGTACTTGATTACCTGGATTTTGATTATGATTTTAAATTCAACCTAACATACATAAATATAATTTAAAAGAAAAGAAAATGTGAAGTCATAACTTTATTAAAAAATAAATTCTATTTTAATTTAAAAATTATAATACTAACAAACTTATATTAATAATTTATTTTAGATAATATCGAAAATTACATGAAATCATATGAAGTAAATGTTGAGAGTAAGAAGGAAATGAAATATAATTAATAATAAAAATATTTAAAAAAAATTAAAATAATAAAAAAGAATTTAAAACAATAAAAATAAAAATACATTAAAACGAAAAAATTAAAAATAGAAATAAAAGAAAGAAATTAAAAGCATGCTCACAATTACATGTCAACCAAATATGACAGAAAATATAATTACACCAATTACGTCAAATTCAATTACCAATATTACGTTCCAAACATTGCCCTTAATAACATGGTCGCAATTTTTAAATTCCCAAAGTATAAGTGGGTCTTTCCAGTTGAGAAGATGGTAGTATTACTCTTTGTACTTTGATTGCACTTTGGGTTTTGAGCCATTTTTTTCTCCACCACCCACAGCTTTCTTCTCTTTCTCTTCTTCTATTTTCCATAAGGTGGGTGGTGGTGTTGGTGTAACTATTTTCTCTGCAAAAATGGAAGGTTGTTGCAATGAACGCCTTGATTTTGGCAAAATGGGTTATGGGTACCATCTCTTTTTTTATATTCATGTTCAATACTAGTATCTAAATATTTTCCCTTTTTCATGTTTATTTATTGCAGGTGAGATGATCTGATATGATTTTTTTTAAAACTGTTTGATTATGTGGAATTTTATGTATTGAGGGCGATCTGATTGTGTTTTAACTCTTTTAGATGCTAAACTCATATAGTTAATTTAACGTCTAACTTGAGTAGTGTAGGTGAATCAACATTCAAACTTTCTTATCAGTGTAAGTTTCAATCTAAGTTTTGCATTGGTGTCTATCTTCAAGTAGATTTCTTCTAGTTGATTTGTCATCTTGCTCATTCAGTTAACAGTTACTCCCTCCGTCTCAATTTATGTAACATTTTTCGTTTTTCGAGACTGAAATAATTTAAGTTTTACTGAGAATTTGCATATGAAATTTATATGTTTGTAAACTACTAAAAGTTAAGTCACAATAATTGACAATTCAAAATATTTAAAATATATATGAAAGATAAGACTTGTTTCAATTTCGAAATCCAAAATGTGCCACATAAATTGGTACAGAGAGAGTATTATCTTAGAAAGTTAATTTCTTCGAATAATCATTTTCTGAGATAATAACTATCAGTTGAATCAACACAAATTTCTTCTATATCTCAATTATCTGCCTTTTAGTGTTTCTTCTTACAGTCTCTTAGTTGTCCTGATTTTGGATTTTTTGATAGATGCAAGCACTATAGGAGAAGATGCAAGATTAGAGCCCCTTGCTGCAATGAGGTCTTTGACTGCAGACATTGTCACAATGAAGCCACGGTAACTTACTTGCTCGTGACTTCTTTTATGTTACTCCCTCTGTCCCAAATTTATGTGGCACAATTTGTATTTCGAGTCAAACCTTTTAATTTTGACATGGAATCTTTTGAAATAAAATTTACATATTTGGAAACTAACATTAAAATATTATGGTTGATGAAAAAACTCTCGAAATCCAGAAGTTGTCACATATATTGGGAGGGAGGGAGTATCTGTCTAATGGAAGTTAATCTGTGTGTGTTTCAACAGAGCATGTTGCGTAAGATTTTTGATAGGCATGAACTAGTTCGACAAGATGTCACACAGGTTATGTCTCTACTATTTCCATTTCCAGTTATTCATCTGTTACATTTAATTGTTGAAAGTTTCTGATAATGAGATATGTGTTCTTTGGGTATTTCAGGTCATCTGCTCAGTTTGTGATACCGAACAGCCAGTACGTGTTGTCGTTTGACTTGCATTCACACCTTCTTTCTCTCGTTGGTATTGCTTGAGTTGATGCTACAATGTCTTTTTCTATTTCAATTCAGGTTGCTCACGTTTGTACGAATTGTGGTGTCAATATGGGGGAATACTTTTGTGAAGTCTGCAAATTCTATGATGATGATGTAATATACTGTGCCTTTTACTAATATGTGATTAACTTGTTTACGTCTGAAACGCGGCGATGTCATAATTATTTTTGGGGCTTAGACCCTTTTAGCCATTACATTGCCGAAATACTTATGCTGGACTCCCCTGTTACAGATAGACAAAGGGCAGTTTCATTGTGATGATTGTGGAATCTGCAGGTTAGTTTACAAACATTTATATCGCTGGGAATTTGTTGATTTATGTGGTGAATATCTTCTATTTTCAAAGTTCCCTAACATGTTTTCCTTGCACAGAGTTGGTGGTCGCGAGAACTTCTTTCATTGCAACAAGTGTGGTGCGCATCACAACTTTTTAACATTTTTATTCAAAGCTTTGTGGAAAATTCTTGTTCTTTCTCTCATGTGTTTCTTTAATATTTTCGTCACTAACATGTTAATTAATCAATGAGATATTCTTGAGACTATACTATGTAACTCCAATTGGTTTAGTCTTGTTTGCTATTTTTCCTAATAATTACTCTCTATCAACCGGTGTTTTGTGGGGGTGAAGAAAGGATTATAAGTAATTAAAACTTAATGATCATGATCTGAATAATCAGGTTCCTTTTCTTATAACATAGTCTTAAAGGACTGACTAGGAAGGATATATAGCACATCTTAGTGCAGCTGCATTTTCTTTATTCAGCTTCCTCTTCTAATTCTCGTCCTGCTTCTTGATCTGGGAGTATCCAGACCTATCTTCTTAGTTAGAAGGAATGTAGTTTTGATTCTTTAACGTTATGATTTTATTTTACACTTTTAGAGGCATTATTGTTGATTGTTAAGTGATGATACCCTCGATATCACATGTAATATAAACTTCACATTAAGATTCTCTTTAATTTGTTGTTTTTCTCCCTTCAAGTAGTGGAATGTAGGAGTGTTGTCCTCAGTGTTTTGATACTTTATTCAGTTGGCTTATTGAACATACCTGTTGTCATGACTAAATTTTTTCTTTCTTATATAATTGGTTAGACAATGCAAATAGAGAATCTATAGTAAGAGAAGTGAGCAAAGCCTTCCGATTTTAATTTACATTGCTCTCTTAGGAAATTTGTCAATCGTATGGTGAAAATATCACTTTCTTCTTTCTAATTTAGTGTTGCACAAAGTGGACATTCACATAATGTTGTGGATTCTTTTGTTGTTTTGTTTCTACATTTGCTTCTTCACCTATTTCTGGCTTTCATTCTGCAGACTCTTGTTATTCAGTTAGTCTGCGTAATAACCACTTGTGCGTGGAGGACTCCATGCGGCATCATTGTCCCATTTGTTATGAGGTACGTTACATACCCCTGTGGATCTCGCCTTTGAATGTTCTTGTCATTCATAATGCTCTAATTCTTCAAGTGCAGTTTCTATTTGATTCTCTGAAAGACACAACTGTAATGAAATGTGGACACACAATGCATACAGAATGCTACCACGAGATGATAAAGCGTGACAAGTAATCACTTAGTATTTATCTATTTATGTTGTTTTTTGAGTCTTGTTCGATTGAATAACAAGTTTTTTGCTAACTGACTTCCATTTATTTTAAACTAAGATACTGCTGTCCGATATGTTCTAGATCAACTCTAGACATGACCAAAGCTTGGAAAAGAATGGATGAGGAGGTAGGTTTAAACATTTATTCTCCGAGGGTGCATCTCATCATAGAATTGCTTGCATGCTTAGTGAACTTTTTCATGGATGATTTCTGTTTTATACGTATTCTAAAACTACTTTTGTTTTAAAGGAATCTGATCTAAGAACTATAGTGCTATGATTGAAGTCCAATTTCTTGAATCTTGATCAGTACGAAATGCTTAAATTGTCCAATTATTTGAGGATGCATAATCTTTTCATTAAAAATTTTGTGCATGCAAAATCACTTGGGAACTGATCTTCTACTATTCTATGTTCTTCCCGAACATGTGCTAATGCCTATGTTGTGTGGAGCTGGGTATCTTGTATTCGCTGGGATAAAATCTTTCCTCTGCAGGGGGCCTTGTGCAGTAAATCCCCTATGGGCGGTCGTCCCTTGTCCTAAAGTAGTCCCTGCAAAGTTTTTGGGAAGAGGGGTAGTCTTGTGTGTAAGCATAGCATTTTCAGAGGGCTATAAGACCTTTTTTCTCCTCTCTTTTCAGTTAAATAAGTTTGTCTTGGAACAACATTGTTTTTTATTGTTCTATCGTCCACAAAAATCTAGTTGATTATGGTAAAGACTAAAGAGAGTGCCAGTTCACCTTCTTTTTCGAAGGCAAAAGAGGAAAACAAAAGAGAACCCTGACATCTAGTTCTTGCATTTAATGAAAATGTTTGAGTTTTGTCTGCAATGATCATATGCCAAATACAGGATGCATTTTGAACCATGTGGTATGGTTCAGCATAATGCTTAATTCTTTAGCAATTTCAGACTGTTTGTTATTTTGGTTGTTGGGGTTGGGGGGTTAAGTTTTCTCTAATCTTATTTTTCAAGAGTCCTATTTACCTAAAGTTACCAAGTTTCAAAAAAAGAGTCCTATTTACCTAGCTGTATTGAAGTCCTATGCTAAAAGTGAAAATTTCCGTTGTTCAGATTGAAGAGACAATCATGCCTGAGGATCTTAGATATAAGAAGGTACTTCCTTTTCCTTTGACCCCATATTTGTGATGTGTTAGTTATTTTGGGTGTTAATTACAGAGGGCAACCAAGGGCGTTAACTCACCTAACTTGTTACTCGTAGGTTTGGATTCTTTGTAATGACTGTAATGACACAACTGAAGTATACTTCCACATAATCGGGCAGAAGTGCAGACACTGTCAATCATACAACACCCGTATGATTGCACCTCCCGTTCTTCCTCAATAGCAACTTTCTACTCCAGAAAAACTGATTGTTTGTGCTGCTGAAACCTGGTGCAGCGGACGTGAAACAGAAGAAATTTATGGTGTTACCTTCATGATTACTACTATTTATTCTTTGGCGTCATTTCTGCATTATTCATGGCCATTGCAAATTACAACACAACTTCACTCTTTTTGCAATGTGGAAGCATTTGTGACATGATTTTTTTACCTCCAAATTAAAGATGTGAGAGTAAAACTCAAATGAGTTGATTCAGGACTATTTATGCCACCATGTACACATATTGCCATAATATTCCAAGGGACTACTTTTGAGCTACAAAATTGAGAAAGGAACCAATTTATTATTAGTAGTTACCTATTTTGTGGAGTTGATTCCATTTCCTCCAGCAGCAAAATAAAAGGAAGTCTTTGATATTCTCACACTTTCTCTTCTATTCACTTACATTGGTATAATAATCTTAATGCTGAAATCACATCTCTAATATTTCTTGAAAATGATAAAGATGCACCAATGTTAAGAAAGACGAAAAGCATAGCTATAAATGAGTAGTCCTTGCATTTGAATGTACAGGACAGGAGTTAGGAGATACGAGATAGGAGATAGGAGATAGAAGGACTTTGATGTGTTTGTGGCAGGGGAGTGGTTGGTCAAGTGTAGAATACCGTTACACTCACTACTCTTTTGGGACAGTGTATACTGATACGAACTTCGTATATGTATACATTTGTTATATATTAATGTTCAACTATATGTACAATTTAGATCAAGATTAGAGCTGTAGTTGGATGCGTACAAACTGCCCATATACTCAAGTATTAAAGATTTTTAAGGTTGAGTTAGTTACTGGAGTCTCTCTAACATCTGCACACTCTTTCTCTAATGAGATATCCTTAATCTCTATATAGAGGTAATTTGGAATGTTATTTAACACTACATATCTAAACTTAATTATGTAATCCTATTGTGCTTCTGTTTTAGGTAACTTGTAATGATTTCTCCTCACAATAAAAGTTCTTCCCTTTAGAATAAGATCTCTAATTTTACGATGAATATATTTTATGTATCAAACTGTCGTTTTAATCAAAAAAATAACTTGAAAACAGCGTGCCATACATTAGTACATGCTTCTAGCTAACACTATACAGTTGAGACTTGAAGTTTTTCACATTATTGTGCACAGTTGCTCATCTCTGTACACCACACACATATTTCAACTGTGCATAGTACAATGAAACACATGCTTGCTCATCCTTATCGAAAGCAAAAGGCCACAATTCATAGATTTACCAAAAAATATCGAATCCAATGCATAAATTCACCAAGTAAAGTCAAATTCAAACACATGAGCAAGTATTTCAGCAGAAAAGCAAGTGAAAGATGAATATTTTGAAGAATTATTGAAAGCATACCTTCGAAATTCTTGCAGGAATATGAATGAGAAGAACAACAATGGAAACCCTAAATTTGGAGAGGAACAAGCTGGAGAAATAATGGAGAAACAGCGCTCCTTCACTACGTTTGAGGGTGGGCAAGGGCGTAGGCTGGGGTGAAATTCGCTTGTGTTGCGCGTCGACTTCTTTTCCGGAAAATGATTTCCGCCGGAAGTCGTTTTCCGCTGATTTTAGGAAAACAAGTCGTTTAGGAAAATGTTTTCCCAACATTTTATTGCAACCAAACAAAAGAAAATAGGAAAATATTTTCCTCCATACCAAACACACCGTTAAATTCTTTCCTTTATCCATTTCCTCCATACCAAACACACCCTTAAATTCTTTCCTTTATCCATTTAGATAAGTAACAACTTCATTGCTTCCTCTATCCATAAAAAATATCTAAACATAAAAAAAAAAACTTGAGGGAGCTTTTCCATCATGGAGGAAATACAAGACACTAATCCTACAACTTTGAAAGTTCTAATGGTTCCATGGTTAGCTCATGGCCATGTAATCCCTTATTTAGAACTAGCCAAGAAACTCTCCAAAACCAATCTTTTCTTCATTTACTTTTGTTCAACACCTATCATTCTCAATTCCATCAATCAAGAATATCTACCAAAAAACATCCAACTAATAGAATTCCCTTTACCATCATCACCACAACTTCCTAGCCACCAACACACCACCAATGGCGTACCGAAAAAACCTCCTTTCAACGTTGATCCAAACTTTTGGAGAAGCTGGTTCTACCTTTGCCAAGATTCTTGATTCTCTCTCTCCTGATTTGCTTATTTTTGATGGGTTTCAAACATGGGCACCAGAGCTTGCTTCTTCAAGAAAAATTCCTGCCATTCATTTCCTTATCGTTGGTTCTGCTTCCGTATCTTTCTTCTATCACCATTATCTGTATGCTGGCAAAAGAGACTTTCCATTCTCAGGAATTTTCCTCAAGGATTATGAGGCAAAGCAACTCCAACTCACCGCAGAAATGAACATTTCCATAGGACCTAATGTTGCTTTCAATGGGCTGGAAAAATCCCATGAGATCATTTTGATCAACTCTTGTAATGAAATAGAGGGTAAGTATGTTGATTATCTCTCGACTCTAAGCAATAAAAAAGTCGTACCGGTAGGTCCACTTATTCGTGAAATGGAAACAACTACAGAGAATGAAGAGAACTCCAAGATTATCCAATGGCTAGACAAGAAGGATGAGTCCTCTTGTGTTTATGTTTCGTTTGGAAGTGAATATTTCTTGTCCAAAGAGGAAATCGAAGAAATAGCTCATAGTTTAGAGCTAAGTGAATTGAATTTCATTTGGGTACTTAGGTTTCCATTAGGTGATGAAACTAACATTGAAAATGCTTTACCAAAAGGCTTTCTTGATAGAGTTGAAGGAAAAGGTGTCATTGTGGAAAAATGGGCACCTCAAGCAAGAATTCTTGAGCATCCAAGTGCTGGGGGATTCTTATGCCATTGTGGATGGAATTCTATACTAGAAAGTTTACATTTTGGAGTTCCTCTTATAACCATGTCTATGCATTTTGATCAACATACTCATTCAAGAATGACGGTCGAGTTGGGGACAGCTATGGAGGTTGTGAGAGATGATCAAAATGGGAAACTGAATAAAGAAGAGACAGCAAAAGTGATAAGAAATGTGGTGATGGAGAAGAATGGTGGTGAAAATGTGAAGGCAAAGGTGAAAGAATTGAGGAAAAAGATAAGAGAGAAAGGAGAAGAAGAGTTTGATCAAGTTGTTAACAAGTTGTTGGACCTTTCTACCAAGAATAAGCAGTGAACACTTAGTATGACATAAAGGAAGAGCACAAAAATGGAGTTATTTTATTTTCTTTTCTTTTTATGCATGAAATAATTGAAATATACTTTTCTTCTTGTCCTGGAAAAAATCTCTGTGGTGTTTCTCTACTTTCGATTATATGGAAATGATAAAAATGTTTCTGTTGACATTACAGATTGCACTCGAATTTCTTATCTCTTCTACATTGTACTCTTGTCTTTGTCTTCATCCCAAATTCTTCACGATAGATTCCATTTTCCTCCTTTAAAGAAGTAGCTTTTAGTTAGGTGCCTCACAGATTCTGGTCTATCCAATTCTAGTTCAACTGTTCAAGATTGATTACAACGAAATTGATAGTGAAAGACAAGAACATTTTTTTAAAAAGGTTTTTCATTGTTGGATTGTATATTAAGTACAAAAAAAAAAGTAGAAGTGAAGAACCAGAAGATTAATGCTTCAACAACTTCTATAGAACTTAAAGATCAAAGTTAAGGAAGTCCACAAACAGAATTCACTTTAATGACACCTCTTAAGGTCAGCCTGCTAGAAGTTATATATTAGCATATCCATTGGAAAATGAGAACCATACAATAAGTATGACTGTCTAACATCTCATGTCTACCATTGTAGAGGAGTGCCCTGCCTTCTCCGACATTCTTGAGTTTCATAAACCACAACTGATCATGTTCAATTTTACATGGTCTGTGGAAATGGCAATGTCCCGTAACATCTCCTTCAATTCATTCCCAAATTATGGGGGCTACAACTAATGTGTTCTTCCTTTGTATGTTCAAGCATTGAGGAGTTCAATTCCATTCTTCATCCATTTTTCTTAAGGACTATGAGATGCACAAAGCTTCATCGTGTTGAGTCCTCATCAATTCATCTCTTTGATTGCAGAGAGCAATCTACTGAGATCATAATGACAAAAGGTTTTTGGAGAAATTGTTTGTTAGAGACCTTGACACAGATGAATCTTCAGAGATGATCCAATGGTTAAACAAGAAGGATCCCGCTTCAACTGTTCCTTTGAAAGTGAATCTTTTTTGAATACGGAAGATATGAGAGAGATTGCACAAGGACTAGAGCCTTGCAATATCAACTTCATATGGATAATCAAGTTTCCAGTTGGGGATAAAACAAGTATTGAAGAGACACTACCTCAAGACTATCTTGACAGGGTTAGAAGAAGAGGATTAGTTGTGGAGGGATGGGCATCTCATGCTAGAATTTTTGCTCATTGTGGATTTTCTGTAATGGAAAGTATATAAATTTCGGGGTCCCTATTATTGCCATGACACTTCAGTTGGATCAATACATAAATACTAGGCTGGTGGAGTTAGTTGATGTTGGTGTAGATGTTATAAAGGTAGATGATGTGAGGCTTAAGGCACACGAAATAACTAGAGCGATAACATATGTGGTTTTACAGAAGACGGGGAAAGAAGGAAAAAGTTAAGAACAATGGGTGATAAGATCAAAATCAGAGCAGATGAGGAGATTGATAGGGTGATGGCGAAACTCTGTGAGAAGCGACGACAACAACAACAACATACCAAGTGAAATCCCACTTGACAGCAAATCCAGGTACAAAAAAGAAGGATACATGTAAGCAGAACAAAGTCTACCAGAAGGGAGCAAAAACAACAACAAAATAGTGCCATAATCGAAACATAGTAAACAACATACTTACGTCCTCGCAGGAATAAAACAAAGGTCCTCGCAAAGACACTCGAAGTTTTGAGGTTTTATCAAATTCTCAGCTCTCAGGTAATTCCTGATCTACTCGAAATGAAATGGCACATCGAGTTCATGATATGCAGATAAATGAGGATAATACCATCAATTGAAACATAATATACTAAAATAAAAAAAATATGTTCCTTCTGTAACATTTGTGTTTTGATTTCACTTTTTTCGAATTCAATCCAATACATCTGTTGAACTATTCGTATGCATTTCCTATAAATACATAATCAGCAACAACACAAAAAAGATCTCGAAAAACTTCATCCATCAACCAATGCCTATAAATCACAAAACACAATTCTAAAAAAGAAGCAATTCTCTCCGAATAGTCTCTACGATATTACTCTCATTATTTCCTATCATTACTGTGACTGTCAATGTTGTTAGCTGATGGTCACTTACAGAGATATTAGCAGCCAAAACCTCAGCCTGATGCTTGTCAAGAACCGAGAAGATGTTAGTCATCAGTCCTTGTGTGAGCTGAAATTGGATCCCGAAAAATGCTAATCCTTTCGAGACAGTAGCATTAACAGAAGAAACCCTGTTTCTGCATTGAGATAAAGCTGGTTTGTACACCACTAATGACTTCTTCAACCTCAATATTTCTTCCTCAAGACATTTGATGTAATCTGTAGATTCCGCCACAATCTTCTCTCTCGTCGCCTGAAATTTTCAAATCAATTTACATTGCAATTCCAAATCAGTTGGGTACTTCTATATGAATCCTCTACGAAATTGAACAAAAAAGAGTTCGAATCTGAAGCAAATTATAATAGATATATATGACCTTATGTATGTGGGAGATAGTTGGGACTAAGGATTGAAGCAGAGAGTACAACTCAGCCATTTTCCCTCTTCTGTTACGTTCCTTGTGCATAGTATCATCAGCAAGAGGAGCTTCTTTTTTGTGCCTCTTATTCCCATTTGATGAACTTGTACCCATCTCATTAATGGTGGAAAAATCTGTCAATGGCGGCATGAAAGCATCTTTATATCCTCCCATAACACCCATAAATAATCTCTCAATTTCTTCCTCTTCTGCTTCTTCATTCATCATCATCTCTTGCCACATTTCTACACTCTTTTTCATCACACAGCCACTACTATTACTGTATCAATGGAGTATATGTATATGTATATATATATATACATATAGGCCTCCCCACCCCCACCCCCTACCCCCAACAAGACGGTTACAAGATATTTGCAGTTTTGCACCAACGAATGATCATATTTTGATTCTGTTGCAGTTAAAAATTTTCTTCTGTGTATATCTGTTGCATGGTGATTGATCACTTGGTTGAATCTCAGCTGTCCATTATTTGATCAACGGTGATGATTGTCCTAAGGATTTACAAGATTTGCTGGTTTGTTTACAGTGTAAAATTTCTGCTCAAACAAACATTCAAGTGGGGGTAATAGGGGTAGGGGGGGGGGGGGGGAGTGGTACTTGGGCTGTAAGAAAAGTGAAACTTTTATACTCTCTCCACTCCAGCCAATAAGAAATGGAGAATAATGTGAAGTGAAATGATATCATTCTTGAAATAAAATAAAATTAAAAATTAGTCATATAAAATTATTAAAAGTACAAAATATCACTCTTTATATAAGATGAAAGCTTTTTAAGTTGAGAATGTTTAATCATGAAAATTGAATTAGTTTGAAGTTTTTATACATCAGATATGGGTAAGTTTAGAGCTGTCAATATGGGCTAGGCCCGTTGGGTCGGCCTGATCTAACCCGTGATTTTATAGGGCTAGACTATGATTTTTACAGCCCATTTAAGAAAATAGCTTTTTAGCTCGGCCTGAATAAGCTTGCCGATTTGTGAGGCTTGAGAAATATGGATAGGGCTGGTCCATGGGCCAAATAAAAATTAATTAAAAATAAAAAAAATAAAAAAATAAAATAGGGTATTAAAAATAACAAGAGTCTAAACTCAAAATCTGTTTAAAGTTTGAAATATTACAATTTAAATACAAATTATGTACTACATAAAATTAAAATTCCCTAAAATTTCTAGGGAATCACTACATAGGCCGTAACCTATGAAATATTGTCATAGTTTTTGTGTTTTATTATGATCATTGGAAAACAATTAGATTAATATTTCTATTTATGTTTTTTACTTGAAATCAAACTTAATAAATATTATAAAGATAATTTTATTTGTGGATTTGATTAACAAGTAGTAACACGAACACCATGTAATATTGTTTTGTCAATATTTATGATAATATTTTTAAATTTAAAAAATTATAAAAAATATACTTTTAAAAAAAGAGGGCTGACCCGTAGCCCACGTACTTGTGGTCTGGGCCGACGATTTTCTAGCCCACACCAAAATGGGCTAACCCAACCTAGACCTTCAATTTTCAAAGTCTGTATGGGTTAACCCGAATGGAGTAGACTAGCCCATATTGATAGCCCTAGGTAAGTTCTTTGCCCCTTAAAAGTTTGTTTAGTACCTAGTCCATTATAAAATCAGTTCTAAATTAAATTGAAAGGGTCAACTTCATAACTTAAAACTTACAACACCAATGATGATGTAAAGTTATTTAAATTAACGGTCTGTTTCGTAAAACAACAATAAAAAATTGGATTAATCATTTTTATTAACCCTGAATTTGCATTCTCATTTTGAGTAATCCATCTAAATTGAGTGAAAGATTTATTTATTTATTTAAATGTTGCTGCAAGATTTGTTATTGATAAAACAATTTCATCGAGTGTACCGGATAAAATAATTTCACACTTAATCTCAAAATTATTATCTTTTATCTAACCAAACCAAACATGCAACACCTTAAGTATAAAATGTCAAAGTTGTGACTTGTTTGAACATCATAAAATATGTGTGCAATTGAAATCTATTTATTTTATATATACAGAGTTAAGTGGGAAACAGGGAGGCCATTCAATTAGTGTGATCATTTGGATTCAAATTTGCAACTTATGACTTTGTAATTCAAATTGTAACATCAAGATCATTATATTACATTATGGTATCCTTATGATAAAAAGATTAATATATGATGATGTAATTAAAATCACACTTCCAATTTCAAGAATATACAAAAATTAAACAAATTTAATAAAGCTACTATATTTACTGAAACCAGAAATGCAACACACTTAGGTCTACAAATGATGATTTACCAAACACGCAAGTATTAATTAAATTTAAGAAAACACCATAGCCTAGTTATCTAATACAATACAATAAAACTTCGTATGTAGAAAGACTATTTTACAAGACAAATACTTTTTAACAATAGTGTTCGAACCAACTTGCTAATGACGCCTGTTCTTATGGAGGTTCAACATAGCAAACAACACCAACAACAAAAACAATATAGAACCAACGAGTGAAATGACAACTGCCGCCGCAACTTGTCCACAAAATTTACCAAACACGTCGCACACCTTGTTCCACCGGACGTGGGTGTTCCCTTTGTATCCGATGAGGCCGACAGCCGCGGCCGCTCCGACACTGGAGTAGAGAAGAGCCATCATGATGAGGTCGAAGAAAATGATTGTTAGAGAGAGGCATTTCGCTTTTCCTTTATTTGCCAATGAAAGGACTAAGGAGATAACTGCATATGCACATGCAATTGCATTCACAATCACAAAGTACCTGAAATTTATTTTAAAATTTACAAAAAATTAATAATCATTAATTATATAATATTAACACTCTTGTTTTAATCACATAGTAATATTTAATTAAAATTTTGATTTTATCTAGTAGCTAGGCTCAATAGGGAAGCATCAATTTGACCCAAATCAAAACTAGTTTTGAGTCAAAAACGGTACAAGAAATATTTATACCGTCTACACCAATCAAAACACTTTAAAAATAATAATAATGAAAATTTACCAACTATATAATAAATTATATAAACCCAACTAACATTTCATTCTCAACGATAATATTAATATGAGTCACTATCTTCCAATAACATTTGTAATTAATAGGGAGTAGAAAAAGTCTAATTTAGGTAGGCAAGATATTTGTTGCCATCACATATTTTTGCCTGTCGACGATCTAACTGCCAATTCATTTACTTCTTGCCAAAACAAACACAAGTCTTATTTAACCTTCACGGACCACTTCACTACCCAGCAAGCTCCGGCTCGAAAGCAAGAAGCAAGGGCGTACTTCCTCCGTTTCATTTTATTTGACCTTTATATTAAAAATGTAATTTTTTTACTTATTCAATTTATTAAATTGAGATTTTTTTTTTCAATATTATCTTTATTACTCCCTCTATTTCATATCAATTAAATTTGTGAGAAGAAAAGACATAATTTAAACTCATATTTTTCACTATTGTCCTTTCTAAAATAAAAAATATAATTTTGTAAGTAATGCAATTTATCTCTTAGAAAGTATCGCACTTCATTAAAAGGAAAGGGAAAATATGGAAAAAAAATTCAAAACATTCATCTTGAATTTTGAACAATTCAATTATTTCGAACAATAAAAGAAGTCTCAAAAAATTCAATTAATATGAAATAAAAAGAGTATAAATAATAACATAAAATGATAGTAGCAGCCAAATATAAATTCTGGAAACAGAATTAATAAAATTAATTTAGTAAAATAAATCTCCAATATATATATTTTTTAAAAATGGCGAGAGTATTGCCTCTTGCATCTTTTATTCATGAGATTTACCTAAAGTATAATTACATATACAAAATTAGCTTATAGTAGCAAAAATAACTTGTCATATTTGTATTTCTTTTAGATAAAAAATATCATAATACCAAACGAAAGATACTCCCTCCGTTGTTCTCTTAGAATTTCAAAAGTCAAACAAATTCTTTTTTACCGTAATATTTTCATCGTCTTTTAAAAATTATCAATTATCATCCCTTATAATACTTTCATATAATTTCCAAACACATAAAATTCTATTTCAAAAAATAAAAATAAAAATTTCATATCTGAATTCACGATCAAAATTAAATGCTTACACAAAGGCGGACATGTGACTCCACTTAGCGGAAGCCGGAACATTGATAGGCGGCAAAGTTGGTACCAATTGGACAGGCACTAGCTCATTTTGTTTGCTAACTCCAAGCACAATGGCAGCCACAAGTGTTAGTACAAATGCCAAAAATCTCAAGACAAAATCATTCCCTCTTATGGTTTGCTTATTAGCAATCCCAATTTCTTTTGCAACACCTCCTCCGTTTGTATAACTTTCTGTCTCCATAATATTATAATTATAATCAAGATAAGCTATAATAAAAAAAAAAAGTGAATATGGGAGGTGTTGTTATTGAAGGTGATGAAGGGTTTATATATAGTAGATAGAATGTCAAGTGGGGATACAAAATAAGGTATGTAGAAATTAAAATATGTGTGAAAAAGAAGCTAGTGCCTAATTGTATATATGACTTTTTTGGCTTTATTATTAGATTAGTGGCTCGACGTGTGAGGTTTTGGGTTGGAGATAACACGGTGGAATATAAAATTATATTAACAATATAGAAACAAATGAAAAATTCACAGTTTAATCTACAATTTTTGACTCATTTTATATCATATAGTATTAGAAGGTTGCTTTCCTAATTTGTATCAAATACACGAGTACAAATTAGTTGAGTAATTATATACTATCTATAAGAAAAAAAATATTAATTGAAATTCTCTTATATATAAGAGGCTATAAGCACACAACTATGATACAATATGTTTGTTTGAGCTTTGTGCTTGTAGCCGAAGGCGCGGGTGTGGGGGCCATATAGTATTCTTTTCGTTTTGATTTATTTGTTTTACCTTTTTTTTTAATTATTATGTTATATATTTGAAAATTATGTTAAAAGTACTGTAAATTACAATAATGAATAACTTAATATGTTCAGTACATATATAAGTATTATAAATCATAATAATTGAGACTGGTCGACCCTTGAAATTCTAACAGTGTTACATAAATTGAAATAGAAAGAGTAATAAATATTTTATTTGAAAATTACGTAAAAAGTATTATAAATTATAATGATTAACAATATAAAATATTTAAAAATCATTGAAACAATAAGATAACGTATATATATTATTTGAAAATATCATAAAA